TTCCCCTACCGCACTGACCCTCTCTCCCCCACGCTGCTCTTCCTTGCTCCAGGTCCCCCTCCGGGTCCTGCTCCTTTAGGTGTGTCTCAGATAGACCCACTCCCCTTGTCTAAGCCTTTCGAGGTCACTGTCGACTCTGGTGCTGCTGGGGGTGGCGCTGCTAGGGATGCTATGTCTGGGGTGCTGAGCTCAAGGGTACTGCATCTGCCGGAGGTCCTACGGATGCCTCGCCACGGCATTCTCGCCGACGGGAGCCTCTCTCACCGCAGCAGCTGCGCGAGTGGTTTGCTCGGTGCACCTGCCTTTGGAGTGGTGCTTCTGGAGCTGGAGGCCCTGCCGCGGGAGGCACTGGAGTTGGAGGCGCTGAAGCTGCTAGTCGTGGAGGTGCTGGTGGTACTGCTGCTGCTGGAGGCGCTGGAGCTCGAGGTACCGGAGGTGCTAGAGCTGCTGGTCCTAGAGGTGCTCGTACTGGAGGTACTGGAGCTGCCGGAGCTAGTAGTGCTACAGGCGCTGGAGCTGGAGGCACTGGAGCTGGAGACCCTGAAGCTGGAGGCGCTGGAGCTGGAGGCGCTAGAGCTGGAGGCGCTGGAGCTAGAGGCACTGGAGCTTGAGGCGCTGGAGCTAGAGACCTTGGAGCTGGAGGTGCTGGCGCTGGGGTTGCTAGAGCTGGCGGTACTGGTGCTAGAGGCACTGTGCAGCGGTGACTGTTTTTCGTTCTGCCGCCGCCGTCGTCTTTGCCGCCACCTGGCTCCGTACTTTGCCAAGTTCTTAGTTTCCCGTCTTCTACTGGCCTTACTCCTCCCTTACTATGTCCACTGCCTGACCATTCGCAGCCACAGTTACGACCAGACTCCGCAATGCCTGCTCCTTCTCCTTGCGAGCAGTCGGACTGCCTTACAGAGCGTCGTGAGCCTACGTCTCGTCCTGCCTCGCCTGTTCGTGCTGTTCGCACTGGTCGGCGTGTTCCTCGTCCGCGTCCTCCTCCTCTCCCCAACACTCACACTATGGCACTTCGTCCTTCCTCTGTTCCCTGTCGTCTCCTCCTGCGTCCTCACTTCCAGACGTTCCTGACCCTGAGTCTGACCGTGCTCGTGCTGCTAGTCCCATTGTCACTCGTGTTCTCGCCACTCTTGTCACTGACCCTACCTTTGAATCTGCTGCTGCGCCTGCCTTAGTGAATGAGCTTGTTGACTTTGCTGCTACGTGTCGTCTTGACTTAGTTGCGAGTCTTGACACTGAGTCTGAGTCTGACTGTCCTCCGTCCGTCGGGGGTGAGTGTGCCCTTGGCACGGACGTCCTTGAGGACAGGCAGTTTGAGATCAAGTGTATTGCGGCTGCTGTACCTCATCTTGCTGCCATGCTGCTTGCCCCTGAGGGAGACCCGGATGCACCAGACATCCCGACCCCGCGCACTTACGCAGAGGCGATTATTGGTCCTTACTCATCTCACTGATAGACAGCCATGGATGCAGAGATGGCATCTTGGAAGTCCACAGGCACTTACATCGACGCAGTTCCCCCTCCTGGGGCGAACATAGTCGATGGCATGTGGATTTTCTGGGTGAAGCAGCCGCCGGGTTCTCCGCCTGTCTTCAAGGCTCGTTACGTTGCACGATGCTATAGTCACCGACAGGGAGTTGACTTCTTCTTGACCTTCTCCCCTACCCCGAAGATGACCACTCTTCGGGTGTTGCTGCACGTTGCCGCTCAGCGTGACTACGAGCTTCACTCTCTTGACTTCAGCACAGCTTTCTTACAAGGCAGCCTACACGAGGAGATCTGGGTGCGCAGCCCACCTAGCTTCACTGGGTCGTTTCCTGCAGGTACACAGTGGAGCCTCCGGCAGCAAGTCTACGCTCTCTGCCAGGCGCCTCGTGAGTGGCACGACACACTGAGGATGACACTTGCGGCTCTTGGGTTGCTCCTTCGACTGCTGAACCGTCGCTGTTTCTACGCACCGACACTTCGCTGCCGCCGTTCTACATCCTCGTGTACGTCGACGACTTAGTTTTTGCCACTACTGACACTGAGGCAGAGGCCATAGTGAAGTCAGAGCTGCAGAAGAGACACACGTGCACAGACCTGGGTGAGCTGGGCAGCTATCTTGGCTTGCAGATTACCCGGGACAGAGCACGCGCACCATCACCCTGACTCAGTCACACATGGTGCACCAGGTCCTTCAGCGCTTCGGCTTCCGGTACTCCTCGCCACAGTCCACTCCTCTGCCTACCGGTCACTCGCTCTAAGCTCCACCTTTGGACGAGTCCGTAGAGCTGAGTGGCCCGTATCCAGAGCTTGTGGGCTGCCTCATGTACCTGATGACCTGCACTCGACCTGACCTTGCCTACCCTCTTAGCATAATGGCACGTTACGTTGCGCCCAGGAGACATCGACCAGAGCACTGGGAGGCCGCTAAGAGGGTGCTGCACCACTTGTGCAGTATGTCGGGCATGGGGCTCGTGCTTGGAGGACGGGGTCGAGTTGTCCTCACTGGACACGCAGACGGTCTTGGGTTGACGACTTGGCTACGCAGCGGTCGTCACAGGGTTACACTTTCAGCCTTGGCTCCGGCTCTGTTTCTTGGCGGTCTATCCGCTCGTCTTCGGTTATCAGTTCCAGTTGTGAGGCTGAGATCTACGCAGGGGCCATGGCTACACAGGAGTTACGCTGGCTCACCTACCTGCTGACCGACTTGGGAGAGCGGCCTAGTTCTCCTCCAGTTCTGTACGTAGACAAGAAGGCCATGATTGCCTTGTGTCTGGAGCACAGACTGGAGCACAGGACGAAGCACATCGCTCTGCGTTAATTCCTTGCTCGAAAGTTGCAGCAGCGTGGTCAGCTTCGTCTTGCTTGCGTGGCCACTTGGGCCAACACTGCTGATATATTCATCAAGGCACTTCAGGCTGGTGATCATCAGCGTTTCTGTACTGCTTTAGGTCTTGTGCTTGCTTTGTCTCACCTGCTCACTTTGTGACTTTGCTTGTACTGTGATCTATACACATAAACCTGCATGCCTACACTTGCTATTTAATGAGTACTGCACTGTTTGTTCTCTTTTACATAACTCTGCATGTGAATTGGCCTTGTGGCCATTTGCTTGTGCTCGGAATGTGTGGTGACTCCGTGATCCACCCTGACCTTGCTTTGCTTTTTTCTTGACTGGTCTTGTGACCTCCTGTTCTCCCCCACTTTGCCTATGGGGGTGTGTCAAAATGTTATGATGTTTATATTGTGTAGGCTGTAGTGGGGTAGCCCATAAGGGGTACAACCCAATTAGGGTTAGTACTTGTACCCACTTTGATCTTAGTTCAATTCATTCCCGTTCGGTATTCTGACAGAAACTTCCTGATGGACGACCATGGGTGAAGCATCACCCGCACCCGCGTGAGCTGGCCCTGCATGGCCCTAACCCAGATGGCATCTATAGGGATTGCCACACACCCACAGCCTCAACAAGCGCGATTGCCAGCCGTGGCCTTACCGCCATCGCCGAAGCAGAAGGGGAAGCACCGCCTGAAGAAGGAATGCCCAACTTGGAGCTCGAAATTGCGACGCGCGGCATCTTCGGAACGGAAGAACATCTCCTCCGCGGACCAGCATCGCAACACCTTCAGGGCATGCTGCGCGGCACAGGTGTTGGCACCTTCAATACACACGGCGTGCCGCGACCCTACACAAAGGAGAAGTTCATGGAGGAGATCCACTCTCATCGGCGCGACTCTACGAAGAAGCTTACCATGGCGCAAGAAGAGGAACTGGCGCGACGCGAGGCGGAAGAGCTTCGCTAGCGGAGTCTTGCGGAATCGCGCTGCACATTCACTTGGAGCGGATGGGCAGAAGAGGAGAGTGCCTCTAATGAAGGGGGGTGGGGAAGTGCTAGCGGATGGGGTACGGGCGACACTGGCGGATGGGCAGCCGCAACTGGTGGCAACACTGGCGGATGGGGCGCCGCATCTGACGGCGAGACAAGCATCTGGGGTCAAAGGCTGAGGAGATTTCCGCGAGGACCAAAGGGGAGAAGAAGAAATCGAGGCAGAACCTCCTGTTGTTCCTCTTGGTCGTCCTCCGTGCCGCCCTGCACCTGCACTACCCCCACCTGACATCCAGCCGCATCGCGACCCTTGGGACACCATCGACTGGGGCAACGAGCGCTCCACCCCACGGCGCACCGTTTACGTGCCTGACCCCGAGCCGCGCCAACCAACCTTCGTCCCTGGAACCATCCCCGGGACCAACATTCCCTGCTCTATCATTCTCGACAGGGACTTTTTGGTGCTGATGTTGACCACGGCAAACGACGAAGAAGAAGCAGCAAAAAAAGCAGAAGCGGAACCTGCTCTAGTATCTAACGAAGACCCCAAAGCAGCGCGTGCACGGTACATGCGGACCTCTGGATTCCGCACCGACGATGCTCTCTGGCACCAGAGCATTGGTCACCCTTCGCGCGTAACGCTGAAAAATCGCATCGAAGCTGGCGTGTTTGCGCCTGGCGCGCTCCTGTGCCCAGATGGTACCGAAGTAGGAGCACGACACAGCCGCACAACTACACAGTTTGCCCCGAAGCTGCGCTGAGTCACCAGCCGTTCCCGCTGCTCGAACCTGGGACCAACCGCTACCTCATGCTGCACAAAGTGTACAGCGACTTCCTCAACGTGGGCCATTGCGGAATCAACGAGGAGCTGTGCACGCTCACCTTCGTCAACGCGAGAACACGCTACGTCTAGATCGTGAACGTAGAGGCGCGGAGCAGAGCGTATGAAGTCTTCCGTCTCTGGCTAGCGCACGCGCAACGACAATCTGAGGAGAAGCTGAAAATCTGGCAATCGGACGGCGCAGTGGATTTTAGGAGCAAGGAGCCGCACGCCGCTAGTAGGGATGTGGGATGGGCTTCGGATGGGCTGGGTTGCTGGCACGTGTAGCACAGTGAGCACCATCTCTGCCGCGTGGACGAGGGACATCCTTAGCTGCAGCAGCTGCTAGCAGCGGGGGCAAAGGCGGACATGGCTGACTACGACAGCCGCACGCCGCTGGTAGGGCTGCCTTGGGTTGCGTTTGGTTGTGTGCAGCTGCTTTGCTTTGCATGTATGCATGCATGTGTGTGCGACTGTATGATACAATTGTTGACGCCCTCAGGCAACATGGCAAAGTGGCAGCAGCTCCTGGCTGCAGGGGCTAAAGCTGACAGAATTGACTCGATGGCTGCTATGGGGCCCTGAATGTTGCTTTGGCACGGCTTCTTTGGCCTTTCCTTCCCTCACGCATCCCCCTTCACCTTTCCTTTCTTTCCCTCCCTCCCTTCCCTCTTCTCCCCCCATCAGCTCGCTACCTCAATTCTCCCCTTCTCCCCCCCTCCCCACCCATTACCTCTTTGGCAGCAACTGGCAGTAGCGGGGGGGCACAACAAACTGGTGCGGCTGATGCTGGAGGGCGCACAAGTCAACTGTTTGTTGAATCTGGTCCTCTCGTCACCTCGCAAGCTCGGATCTCCCTCTCTCACCCACTACCTCTTTGGCAGCACCTGACAGCAGCGGGGGGACACAACGATCTGGTGCTGCTGCTGCTGCTGGAGGGTGCGGACGTCAACGCTGTTGACAACTTTGGCACCACACCTCTCCTCGAGGCACTGCGAGCCGGCCACGATGAGGCGGCCGCCATTCTCGCCAGCAAGGGAGGCACCGTGGGGCTGCAGGTGTGTGCTTGGGGTGGCTCGCTTGAAAGCTGCTGTTGTTGACAACTTTGGCACCACACCTCTCCTGGAGGCACTGCAGGCGGGGCATGATGAGACGGCCGCCATTTTCGCCAGCAAGGGAGGCACCGTGGGGCTGCAGGTGTGTTCTTGGGTTGATCAACAATCTTGCCTTTGCTTCCCTCATGTATGGGGCTGCATGCTCGCCACATCACTGGCCCTCGTGTCCCATTGCTACCACACCCACAAGAGACTATGCACAGCCATGGCATGGCAGCACCCAACACAGCGCCACTGCAGTGCTTGCTGTCGCACGGAGCATGCTGAAGCGCCTAAAAAACACCATCCATTCAACCATCCGTCCATATGCCTCTCTCTCTCTCTCTCCTGCCCCTCTCTCTCACTCACAGCCACAGGGGTGCATCCCAACGCATGTGACTATGACCAGCGCTCCCCGCTGCACATCGCCGCCATCAAAGGCCACCTGCACGTCGCCCGCCGTCTGCACCCATCCGCACATGCGTCTCTCACTCCCGCCTCTCTCTCCTCTCTTGCCTCTCTCTCCTCTCCCTCTTCTCTCCCCTCTCAATCTTCACTCACCCACAGGAGCCAGGACCTGTCCTCTGTGCGGCAGTAGCAGCAGCGGACACAGATTTGCTGCAGCACGTGCTCTCCGACGGGGTGCATCCCAGCGCGAGTGACTATGACCAGCGCTCCCCGCTGCACATCGCCGCCACCAAAGGCCACCTGCACGTCGCCCGCCTACTCGTCGACCACCACGCTGACGTGGCAGCATGTGATAGGTGCGTGAAGGCCCCGCAGATTCTGTGCAGTTGGGAGTTTCCAAGCTTCTGAGGATTGTCAAGGTAATGCATGTGCAAGGCAGGGCTGCGGGCCAGCCTCCTCTCTCCATGTCTCCCCATCCTTTGCCATGCTTTTCCCTCTTCTTCATGTCTCTCCATGTCTCTCCATGTCTCCCCTGCATGACCACTCCTTCCTTCCCATTCTTCCCTTGCTGCCTCTCCTTCATCCTGAACCAACCCCCTGGCAGGTGGGGAAGCACCCCACTGATTGAGGCTCGCCGATGTGGCAGCATGCCATTGGTGCGATTTCTGGAGGAGGTGGGGGCGCGTCAGGCCAGCCGAGCGCACTCTGCTACCCCTCCAATAGCCACTGCGGCTGCTACAACTGCAGCCCCCGCCACTGCTGTTGCCGCCACTGCTGCTGCCGCCACTGTTGCTGCCGCCACTGCTGCTGCCGCCACTGCTGCTGCCGCCACTGCTGCTGCTGCCAGTCCTGCAGCTTCCGCTGGTGCAGCTCCAGTTGCTCCCCCTCCTACCGGTGCCACCCTGTCCGCATCTGCCAGCCCCACAGTATCCCCATCCCCCTCTGCAGTGAGGCAGCTTCTCAGGGAGGTGGGTGCAGGAGAGGCGGCTGGAGGGTTGGAGGATGGTGGGGAGGAAAGTGGTGGGGTAGGGGTTGGGGGCAAGCAGCATTCAGTGCAGGAGCAAGGAGAGGAGACGGGGGAGAAGGAGCAAAGGCGGGACGGGGAGAAGCATAAGGAGCGTGGAGAGGAGGGTGACAAGCAAAGCACCTGAGGGCCATGGTAGGAGCTGGTGGTGGGGTAAAGGGTGGGGGCAAGCAGCATACAGTGCAGGAGCAAAGACGGGACAGGGAGAAGCATAAGGAGCGTGGAGAGGAGGATGACAAGCACAACACATGAGGGCCATGGTAGGAGCTGGTGGTGGGGCGCGAGAGAGGGGGTGTTGTTGAGGGGTTGTCCAGGGACAGGAGCTAGAGTCGCAAGGATGGCACACAGGCAGTGATTGGGACAGGTGCGGAGCTGTGATAGCACGTAGTGCGGTGGTCCTGGAATAAAAGACCGTCTATATTAGAGTGTGGTACCCCCGTTACTGATACTGTAGGTGATTTTAAACAAAATCTTGTTCAAGAGGCAACGCTATTGACTACCTAACGGTGTACAAATTTTGAATAATCAACATCGAGGCTCCTTGATCTCCATCAACTTTTCTGCCCACTCTTTTGGGCCTCCGTCCCCTATCCCCATTCCCTCACGCAGTGTGGCTGCTACAGTTGGAGTGCTAGAAGGGGGGAAGAGAGGTACAGGGTGGTGATGCTGAGGCCAGGGAAGTGGCTTCAGGCAATTGTGCTGAGTTTACTGGCGTACAGTAACTACAGGAAAACTTTCATTATGCAAACATCGGATTACCGTACATTACACTAACTGAAAGAACATACAAGCAGCAAGTCCAATGAAAGTATAGAAACCCAGCGGCAATATGTAAGAGAAGCAGCTTATCTAGCAATCCACTGGATCATGCCAAACCCCGAAGCCAGCTGTACGGATGCAAGAGAAGCGCCTCTACTGTAAGTAGTACTGACCAATTGATGCTACAACATTCCCCTTCACCTCCACGCCATCAACATTTACCGAAAAATAAAAGCTCGAGGGAGACGCGAACACCCCAGCGCTTTTTAACGATTCGATCGGGTCGATAGGCACATAAGCCGAGGTGAGCTGTGTCCGCTTTGGCCGTGCAGGGAATGGACTTCACGAGGGCTCCCGTGCTGACCCTGTAGAAACCGGCAGCCGTGACTATTGCTGACTTGCCGATAGGTATGCCCGCAACGCTCGAGGTGAAAGTAAACGATTGGTAGGTAGACGAGCTGCACGAGGAGAGGGCGAGAAGGGGGGTTGAGGAGGGAATAAGACAGGCTAGTAATTGTGAGAGCATTACGGGCGCTCGGTCCTTGTATAGAAAATCATGCAGCTAGTACAGATACAGCTTTCGCGGCTTCTTGTGAGGGGCTATTCAACACGATCATTGCGATTATGCGATTGATGAATCAACGTTTTTTAACTGGGAAAATCATCGCTTACACGTCAGCACGCAGGGCGCACGAGCCAGTCAATGCACGATTGCTCGAAGCAAGCGTTGACGACGCTTGGTCTGCGCGACAATAGGAAGGATAACCACAATGGGGTCGATGGGGCAAAAGAAGGAGGCCAGCGGAGAAGTAACGGCAGCATGAGACACGAAACAGGGAGCACGTGCGGCAGGTGCACGGATAGGTGCAGAGAGCCGGATACGGTGCAGAGAGCACGGGTACGGTGCAGACAGTACGGATACGGTGCAGAGAGCATTGATACGGTGCAAAAAGCATTGGTACGGTGCAGAGAGCATTGGTACGGTGCAGAGAGCATTGACGGTGCAGAGAGCATTGATACGGTGCAGAGAGCATTGATACGGTGCAGAGAGCATAGATACGGTGCAGAGGGCATTGATACGGTGCAGCAGGGAGCATAAGACTATCAAATCATAAGTGGATGTGCTTCCACCTCGGTGCGAGTCGAGGCAGATTGACTTACAGCGTCTGACGGAAGAGGCGCCACTGGCTATGAGCCCACGGCGCCCGGCAATGGCGCCGCAGGAGAGCGAGAGCAGCACTGAACACAGAGAACGACGCACGTGGAGAAAACAAAGTGATGGGCGTCTGAATCTCAGAGCGGACGGGCAGACCGTCAGAGTTTCTCGAGCAAACTCGCGGTTTTGACGGAATAACAGGGACCGGACGAGTATAGTGCACAATCACAGTAAGCGTTGCCAGGCATTGCCACTGCTCGATGAACAGCGGTGACAATCGATCATCTGATCGTATGATACTCTCCGGCGAGGACGATCGCTTTGGAGTCGACTCAAAAGCTCTCCACTCCTCTAACGAACGGCAGTGAGAGTATCAAATACTCACCAGCGAGGACGATCGCAAAGTGAGCGGACGTGTGCGCTGTTGGAAGGAAACGGTGGTGGGGCGGTGGTATGCCCCCAACCCACCGAGGGCACTTCGGTGCCTTCGATCCCTTTGACTAGGGATCGGTGGGGTGGCACCGATTGACTTCGGGAGACTCACCCTTCGGTGCCACGTGGCGGCACCACATTCCGACCTTCAAGTGCAAGGCGAATTTGGTGTGTTCGGTGTGAAATTCGGTGGTCGAATTTCACCCCAACCGAAATGTTACACGCGGCGCATTCGCGACGCGAGTGTAGCGATGCGATGTTACATGTGCGGTTCGATGTAATGCATGTGCTATAAATCGACTTGCCTTGTATGCATGTTTCATAGTGAACATTGGAATCATCTTGTACATGGTACAACTCGTCAAAATTCCAAAGAGTTTCCTATCCTTCAACATAGAGCATAGCTTCCACGTTAGAGGCCATAGCTCACTCGTTTCTTAGGCGAACGAGGTGATTGGCGGCTCGTTGGAAAGCTACGACATAGCTCTAGTGATTAGAGCTAATCCCAGTTCCTACAAAGTAGAGGAGAGTCCTTTAGAACAGTGGTATCAGAGCTGGTCGGAGGAGTCTACGCGCGCGACAAGGAGCAAGCATGCCGACTTCAAGCGAGGCCTCCCGCACTTCCTTGGATGGTGTTGTTGTAAATTCCGGCGAACCCTGGGCAACCGCGACGATGTTCGACACGTCGGCGGTACCGATTTTCACGGGACAAAATTACTCCGCGTGGAAGTTTAAGTTCCAAGTGCTCATGATGGAGCGGGGACTTTGGGGTTTCTTCGATGGAACGGAGAAGAAGCCGGACGACGAAAGCGGCATCGTGGCATGGAAGAAGAAGGACCAAAAGGCGTTCGCTATGTTGATTTCGCGCATCGGCATCAATCTCGTGAGCTCGGTGCGCATGTGCATCAAGCTCGAAGCGTCGGCGCATGAAGCGTGGAAGCGGCTCGAGACTATCCACGTGAACAAGACTCTCCACGGCAAGATCCTAGCCCGGAATGCGTTCTACACGGTGAAGATGCGCGCGGGCGAATCGATGCACGAGTATGCGACTCGTGTGGAGGAACTCGGGGAAACGTTCATGGACCTCGGTGGAACGGTCACGGAGGAGGATTGGATTCTCACCTTGCTTTGCGGCCTTCCGGAAGAGTGGTCGACAGTGATTACGACACTCGATAGCGTGCAAAACACTTGGACGAAGGAAATGGTGGTCGGTCGGCTTCTCCACGAAGAATCGCGACGCCGACAATTCGCTAACGAGAGCGTGGAGACCGCCATGTTCTCCGGAGGGAGCTCCGGAAAGAATTCCAAGTGGAGCAAGGGTGAGGCAAAGAAGTCGTCCGGTGGAAACGATCGCGGCAAGAGCAACGCATCGAACGGTACGAGCAAGTGCCATTATTGTCGCAAAGCGGGGCACTTTTGGCGTGAATGTCGGAAGCGGCCGAGCGATTGGACTCCATCGAAGGCGCGGAACCAAGAGGGCAACGCGCACACGACATCCGGTGAGGGGGATGATTCAACGGAGTCGCTCGTTTTGTTGGCCGGTGACGGGATCAACACTTCAAACGACGCGTGGTTCCTCGACACCGGTGCAACACAACACATGACGCACTCGGCGTCGCTCCTCAACAACGTCGGTGCTCCGGGAGACGTTAAGCGCGTCGTCTTCGGGAACGACAAATCGCTACCGGTGGTTGGAGTTGGGAGTACGCGTCTCATCGTCGATGGCGGGCCGGTGGACATCACGAACGTGCTTCACGTCCCGGGATTGAAGGTGAATCTACTCTCCGTCACTCAACTCGCAAAGAAGGACGTGAAGGTCACCATCGATGGCGCGAAGATGAACCTCTTTTGGAAGGGGAAGCAATTCGCGCAAAGCGTTCTCAACGGACAACTCTACCAACTCAAGACGCATCCGACAACTGCCTCATCCAACGTGGCGCAAGGCTCCAAGGCGACTCTCAAGATGTGGCATAATCGGCTTGCGCACGCCAACTACGACTCGGTCAAGGAGTTGGCCAACAAAGGACTTGCGAAAGGATTTGACGTGATCGCCGGCAACGACGAGAAGGGCGTGTGCGCGGCGTGTGTCGAAGGAAAAATGGCTCGCAAGACATTTGGTAGCCGTTCCTCACCCCTCGCTAAGGACCCGCTTGCGCTTGTTCACATGGACGTGTGTGGACCGATGCGGTGCGCATCAAAGGGAGGAGCGCGGTTCCTCTTGGTGATGCTCGACGACGCAACGCGGATGTGTTGGACCCGGCTCTTGAAGGCGAAAGGAGATGCGGCCAAGGCGATTCAAGAGTGGGCACTCGACGTATGCGACGACGACAAGAAGCGGATCAAGTGCATTCGCACCGACGGTGGCGGCGAATTCGTTAACAACGAGCTTGAAAAATGGATGAAAAGCAAGGGCATTAAGCACGACATCACGACACCCTACACACCCCAACAAAATGGAGCGGCGGAGCGGCTTAATCGCACATTGGTGGAGGCCGTTCGTTCACTTCTTCAACACTCCAAGCTTGGGAACGAGTGGTGGGGAGAGGCGAGTGCGCTAGCGGCATGGATTCGTAATCGTGTGCCAACAAAGGTGCTACCGGGAACGACTCCGTTCGAAGCATGGACCGGAACGAAGCCGAACCTATACCGCCTACGCACCTTTGGGTGCCTTTGCTACTACCATGTACCGGATCCACTCCGCCACAAGTTGCAACCGAAAGCTCGTGCGGCGATCTACTTGGGGATTGCGGCGAACGAGCGTGCATGGCGAGTGTGGGATTTGGATGAAAAACGCGTCGTCACGTCTCGGGATGTGATCTTCGACGAAGACAAGTTCCCGACAAAGGAGAAACAAACGCCGCAACTCACCGTCGTCCTTCCCGCACGAGAGAAGGATGAAGCGGTGGAGGTTCCACCGCAAGTGAAGAAGGGAGCCGAAAGTGGAGGGGGCGAGAACCAACCGTGATGATGTCGAGGAGGT